GCTAACATTCGTCAATGCGAATCAATCGTCTCGCTTTATCGCGCCGAATATCGCCCGAATTTCGCTTCGTGTGAGAGATATACGTCTGTGCGTGCACGCACGCGTGTGTGCGTGCACCTATATTGTTTCCCGTAGAGCGTTGGCGTAATTTCCATAATGGCGCGGAGTTCAACGAGTTTCTGCGAACGTCGAGAAATCGACGGCTGAAATAGTACGGGGAGACTGAAAATCGACTCGCCCCGGGCGGATAACACAATCTCTCGTGAACTCGTCAGGATATCCGACGGTCGTGCGGGACTTTTTCAAGTGTATTAAAAATCCTACCACTAGCATATTAACTCTTTGCACTCTCCGGAGCGGAGCCATTTAAAATTTGTCTTTAAACTTAAAACAAACTATTAACAACTATTAACAAATTAACAAAATTAAAAAACAATAACATACAACAATGACTTCTTTTAATGCGCATATCATTTACTTATATGTGAATATGACCTTTCCACTGAAATTGCTTCGAGTTGCTGGTAATATGAATGAAAAAAAAACTTCGAGCGCAAAGGGTTAAAATTCCATCAAACGGTCGATGATTATTTCACTGATACGTCATTATCGAGGAGAGGCGTCGGACAATTTACCTGAAAGGTGGCGGGAAGAAACGCTTCGACGGGCGCTTCGACTCGAAAGGCTTCGATTGAACACGGCCGTGTATCGATTGGTCGACTTCGGCGACTGACAGAAGTACGGCCAAAAATCCGACGAACTTGCGCGCAAGCTCCCGCTATCGCACGGAGAAGGAAGTTAACGGGAAGCTCCTCTTCGGGTCGCGTGTGGACGCGATGAGCTTCCTCGTCGTTGTTTATCGCGCTTTTCACGCGCGCGGAACGCTCTTCGTCCCTCCGGGGAAACACAGAGCGTTCAACTTGAAATCGATACCCGCCACTTGGCAGTATCCTTGACGAGCCGTGATTTTATTAACGAGTCCTCCTCGCAGCTCCTTCAAACGACCCTCCTTTCCTGCTCTATCTTTCCCTCCCTTTCTCCATCGCGGAACCCCTCGCGCGGGTTTCCTTTCTTCCTCACCACCGCCACCGTTACCGGTCGTCGGTCGCCCCCCCCCCCCCTTCCCGGTGTTCCCACCTCCTCTGGTTTCTGGCGAAACTCGACACTTCTCCTGGGACGCGATATTGATCGTGGTTTCGCGGCTGAAAAGATTACCGCGATCCGCGATAACGTCGCGCCGTGTAAAGAGCCGTGTATTCGGAGTTCCCGATAAGAGAACTCTCCCCCCGTTCAGATCCCCCGACGCTTCGGGCGCAGGTGAGACGATATCGCCCCGAAGACGTTACGCGCGCGCGATTACCGATCTCGCCGGATCGATCGGCCCGTCTGCTACTTTAGACTTTCGCGGTGCGGAGAAGTACTTAATTTGGCTCGCGAGCGCCGGCGCCGCGTCCCTCGCAGATTTATTCCCGACGTTTCGCGAATACTTCAGTCCACTTCTTCCGAAACCGTCGTCCGCGTCGTTTCTCTTCGTGAAGAAGCGAACGTTCGCGAAACGTCGGAAGTAAATCCGTGAAGGACGCGGCGCTGACTCGAAAGCCAGGTTAAGTATCGGTCCTCGTCGTTTCTGCTATCGTCGTCCGAGATTGCCCGCGAGAGTTCCTCGGGTATTGTCGAAGAGAACAAAGAAATATGAACGATACCATACGATAACACAACGGTAATGAGCGGAAACAAATTTGTAATAAATCATCTAATTCTCCAGTCGATGTATGATCGTAAGACTTGGCACGAGGAAAATATATTGTAGCAAAAATTGCTATAAAATTGTGCAACGCTGCACTGATAGAAAATAAGAGTTTCAGCGCCGAATATATTTTATAGTAGCAACAACATGCATGTAACTATCACTGATACTACACGGAGAAAAATTAGTCTTAAATCAGTGACGGATATTCTACGTGATTTATTCGATAACGCAAGTAAATAGTTGCGAATTCATCTCTTTGCAGCAGCAAACAAAAGCTTCTCAGATTCGGCCGTCATTCCTCTTCAGTGAAGAGCAATACAGTTAACAATAATGTACTCATGACTCAAGTGTTACCCGGTACATTATTCCCCGGTAATAAGCGCGGTATCGAGTCGTCCGTAGGATCTCCGTAATCTCGATCCCGAGAGATCTGTCGGTTGCTCGCGGAAATTCCGGAAACGCGGGGAGAGTTGCCGAGATTCGCGAGAGAAGAAGCGAGAAGAAGCCGCGGAGGAAGTTGCAGCGCGCCGCCTCCGCCGCGCGCGCGGAATGTATCGGGGCCCTCTTCGTATAGAAAGTCAACCTTGACCGAGAGAGCACACACAACCTACTTGCGGTGCATCGAGAATGAGTCGATCACCTTACTGGTACAGAGCGCGCGACGTCGTCGTCGTCGTCTCGGACACTCGACCTCGATGTGCGCGCGAGATAATTGATCGCGCGACGCGACGCGCTGGATGAGGCGGACCGTTAAAAGTAAATGGACGGATAATCGGTTTTTTTTTTTCACCGGCGCTCGAGTAACCCTCTCCGGCTACTCTATCGCCAGCGAAGCGAGTGAGCGGGCCAAGCGAAGGAGCGTGCAATCGGCTGATAATGAAATGTGACGTGACGTCGTCGTGGCGGAATAAAACAGCCGTTGTATGGAAATCGGTCGAGCTGTGTCGGGATGATTACTAGTCGGTTTTACGATTACTGATACTGCGACTCGAGATATCTCCGCGCTGATAAGCTCACTCCCCGCGTTCTCCTCTCGTGTTCTCCACGATGACCGATAACCGTTCCGCTTCGACCTCGCTTTTCATGCTTATTATTGCCTCGTTAGTGATTTATGGATCTACAGAAATCACACTTCTTTGAAATCGAGTCGCATAAAGAAAAACGTTATTCGTACCGCGAAGAAATGCAATTATTCAGTTTATCTCTCTTCTTTTAATCAATGGTTATCTTGAACAAAGAATATATACTAAAAGCCGAATCACACTAACAATTGACGATTAATATATGAAATAGAGCTTTTTTTTTCATAGCAGTCACTGATCTCGATCGATTGTTGCTTTGTTCTGATTGGTTGAAAGTAATCGGCAATCACAATCGCTAGTATGATTTGATCTTAAGAGACATTGAAAATGCTTCATTCAGAAGGATATGTCGGAATATATTTTAATTGAATAATAATAAATTTAATTGAATAATAAATTTAATTGAATATATTTTAATGCTATTATCAAGAAAAAATATTGCTCGTTCAAAATAACCATACTTAAGAGAAGAAAAATAAATCGAGCAATTATTCTTCTCCGCAGTACAAGTAATATATTTCTTGTGCGCATCCTCTCTCTNCTCTCTCTCTCTCTCTCCCTCCCCCCCTCCTCCCTGCTTTTCTTTCTTTTTCTCGATTCCAACGGGTCAGTTATTTTTCGCAATTTCAGGCCAATTATTGCTTCAATTGTGTACGCGCTTATCGTGACTTATCCGTGTTTAAGTCGTTCTAAGTATTTGCGATATTCACTTCCATATCGAGTACCGGGATTAATTAATTTTTATTGGCTAGTGGTGTTATTTGGTGTTATTTTATTGGCATACTAGTGTTATGTTTATTATTTTTAATAAATCTTATTTTTATTAACACGCACATACTACATATATATATAATATAATATATATGCATAGGAAAAATATTATATTCGGCAGTTTTCTATCACTTTTTGCGCGTGCATCGTTCGGCGCAGGGTCGGCAGACGTAGGCCGAGGAGGACGAGAGGACGAGGAACTGGTCGCGCGGGAAGGTCCGGGAGCTTTCGATGCGTTATTGCCCGCGGTACTAGCTCCGCTTTCTTGTTGCATCAACCAGCCGTGACCTGCCTCAATGAGGCATCGCCGAGCGCGACAGGGTCGGATTGGCCGTGTGACAATTCCGTGACGACGATCGCCCGATACCGAGTCGCGTTCGCAACGTCGGGAGAAGTGTTGCGGGCAATAGATTATTTTAATCGCCGCCGCTCGTGGAACAAGAACGCACGACTTGGTGCGACGTATGTATCTCGAGCCGCAGATAAGACAGCCGAGACGTCCGTCGATTTCGTTAACTTTAACACTTAGGGAAAAAGGTAAAGAGAGGGAGAGAGAGAAAGAGATTGAGGAGCAAGTGAGAGAGCGCGTCAACGTGAAAAAGGGCCGTATCGGGAGATAATCCGTCGCTTCTTTCCTCGTGCCGCCTCTTCCTTCCTATTCTTTTCTTCTCCCGAGACGCGTCACATTTCAATTAATTATTTTCATCAGCCTGCGCGATAATAGCACTACTTAATTATTCCGATAGCGCGCGCCCGCGACAAATTCGTCGTCGATGTTTGAAAAACCATCGTCGTCATCGTCGTCGTGAACAGCTCCTAGCGCGTGGGCACGTGAACGTTCGCGCGACCTTCGCGTCTCACACAGCCAAGGTAAACCTGGCGACGCGCTCGTTAATATCGCCATTACCTTTAAGTTATAATGAGAATACGTGCCGTAGGTATGACACCTCTCCCGAGTAATACATGCATTCCTACAATTTTCCTTACGCTCCCGCGCGCAATCATTATCGTTATCGTCGCGTTATCGTTATATCTCGTTCGTGACCTCGTGCACCGCTTCCGAGTTCTACCACCTCACAGCGTTAACAAGCGTTTTTCGAAGCTCTTCGAAGGAGCGAGAAAAGGACTGTCGCCGAATTGGGAGAAGAAGCGTTGCTCTCTGCGAAATTTCATTGTGATAATTGCGCACAGGAGGCAGTCGTTCGCGTTTCGCATCCCGATAATGGAATTTACGATATTCGTGTTCGTTAAGCAATCATCTGGACGCTTTCGTAACCGCTGATTGACGAACTCGAGGCCAGTCATGACGGGTCGGAGAGAAAGAAAGAATGAGAGGGGAGGGCAGATCCGTCTTCGCAAAGTACTGAATCCACCACTTCCTTTGCTTCTACTTTCAGAGTCCCTGCGCGATTACAACGGACTCTCGGCGGACCTTTACAAGCCCTCCAATTACGACAAGCTCGCACTGTCGCTCCTCTCGCCGCTGCCCAACGAGCAGGACTTCGCCATCAACGTCTGCACACTTCTGTCGAACGAGGGCAAGCACACTCTGCGGCTCGACAAGTACCCCCGGCTGGTGAACATCCTCCTAGCGCACGCCGGCGTATTCGACTCGCCCGGCACGCGGCAGCTTTTCATCGAAGTGTATTCGCGCGTCCGCAACTACTCGATCAACTCCTTCTGGTCGGACGTGCTGGACTCCCAGGACGTGATAGATCTTACGAACGAGAGGGCCTTTATGAAGAAGCCGCCTAGCAGCTTGCCGACGTTTTCCAGACGGAAGACGCTCGAGAAGGAGAAGCAGGGTAAAAGTAACGCCGGCTCCACGTCGACGACCGAGAACGAGGAGCCGACGACGACGACGACGCCGACGCCGATACCGACACCAATTGACGTCGATGGGGTGAGATGAGACTTTTTTTTTCTAATCCTCCTCAAGATACCCAATCCTCTAATTGCTCTTTCAATTTCGGATCCTCGAGATTGACTAGACTGCAGCACGAAGCGAGTTCGATTTAAGCGCACACACAAATACGTAAACTACAAATTACAAATTCACTACGAATTTATCATGAATTTACCAATCATAGTCGATTATTCTTCGATAAAGAGAATAATCGACTGTGATAAATTTTATTCTCGTTATTATTGTTGTTATTTATTATTTATTGTGATTAAACAGGAAGAATTCCTTTTGGTACACTAAATCCCAATCTAAAATAGGACATTAATAGTCTACAATATAAATGTTTTAAGCCTTATGAAATTGACCACAGGGAATCACAGGCGATGTGAGGAGAATAATCGATTGATTGTCAATTTCTTCAGTCTTAAGGCCTTAAAGGTCTTAAAACACTATTGTAGACCAGGACTGATACATCCATAGATACACTTGTGTAATACGCAAAACGAAAGAAAAGAAGAATAGAAGGAATGTTTATGTAATAAAAGAAAAAATAGAAAAAAGCATTAGAATGCACATAAATCAAGATAAAAATCTACATGCCTACCTCTATTAACATTGTGAAATATTCTAAAATTCGCTTGCTCAAGTCTTACTGCTTACGTTGTTTCTGTGTGCTACGGCGCTCTCCAGCGGAAATAAATTTCATTCTTCCCTTGGGCTTTCCGAGTCATAAAACGTCCCGTGATTTGTGTTCGCTCCCAGGTTCTCCCGGAGTGCCCGCGACTGGATCCGTTGGTGTCGTCACATTCGGACGAGAGTCTGAAGGATCAGAACCAAAATTCCATTAAGTTCGAGGAAGAAGACAAGGATCTGTTCTGCGTCGGTCGGACGTTAGGCACGCAGGATCCGTACGGGCAGCGCGTGCTGCAGATCGCGTCGATTCTGCGGAACCTCAGCTTCACGCCGGAGAACGCCACGGTGTTGGGCAGGAACCGGTGTTTCTTGAGATTCGTGCTACTGTGCGTGAGGGCGAGATGGAGCAATCTGCACCAACTCGGCTTCGATATACTAGGGAACATAGCGAATGAAATTATTCTAAAGGAGGCCGGCGAGAGGATAACGGACGTCGTGTTGTCGTGCGTGGCTCGGGGAATCGAGTCCCAGGACAGGTTTATCGTTATATCCTGCTTGGAGGTGCTTAACAAAATCAGCCAGCAGGACAGTAACGAAGAGATCGTCACGTTCGGTCTGGCGGACGGTGTATATGAACTTATATGCAGGTAAATATTTGTATATGAACGTATGAACGTACGTATTCTCACTCGAATCCTGCAACGTCTGTGAACGCTTCGCAGCGACTAGTTAATTCTTATACTGAGAGAAATTGTAGATCTTTTTGGCCTCGACTGTATAGGAAAAGAGGTACAGTGATTGTGGAAGTTTTATAATATATTTCTATTATAAGTTGTCTCTTGATGCAAAACTGACATTTGTAGAACTTTTTTTTTTTTACAAAATTTAGTCAAGATTCTACGTTAAAGGAATACATGGTTATATTAGAAAAATAAAATATATCCTGCTGAAAATAAAATATCGAATTGAAATAACGAGAATCTTAGCAATTGACACTAATGTCATAATAATTGGCGATACTCGTCGTAGCGATTAACCCTTTGCACTCCAGCCTAGTAATGCATAGAGGCTATTAGTTCCAAGTACATACCTATGATGTAGAAGAAAAATAGAGTCGTTTCAATAAAACAAAATTTTTATTTCTTAGCTATTTTATAACAAAACATATTCTAACTTATATTATAAAAGAAAAACATAAATTTTAGGACTTAAAATTTCTTAAAGTGCCGAGACAGCAAAACAACCATGTCGCCGCTACGGCGACAGCGGAGTGCAAAGGGTTAATATTCATTAGAAGTATGGCAAATAAATAAATATGTCAAATTTAAAGCTAGTTAATGACCGAAACTCAATATTTAAGTTTGCCCTGTTAAACGATTCATTAGGTAAATACATTGTCCACACATACCAGTATATCGACAGCCTCTGATTGCAACCTAATGAGTTAATCAATACTGCAACTTAACCGATTGCTTTTCGATAGACCACTTTCTTCTCTATCATCAACAGCTGCACATCCGATGATGGTTGGTGGTGTGTTGGTGGTCTGTTTTGCGTTTAAACGTGTCTATATCTTAATCATTGTATTTCTACCAATCACTGTACCTTTTCCTTTATCTTTCTCTTAGTTTTAACCATAAAAAAAATAGAAGCAGCAATGTACATGTAAGGTTATTATCACTGACACTATAGTAATACTTACTTAAAAAACGCTTCTCCTTACTATTCCTTTATTACGATTTATAGTTATAGCATTAGAGTTATAGCATTACAAATATTAAATATTTTCCTCTCAGTGTACGCGCTTTACTCCGGCCTCGTCATGTTCTCAATCTAATTGAGGGTTGGAAAAAATAGCTCGTTATAATTACCGTTATCAAGTAATGACCGAAGAAAAAGTAGCTTATAACAGTGACAAGTTACGCGTAACGCGTTCGTTACCCACTAAGCCCGAATCAGTTCTAACGAACGTTCCCCGTTTGTCCTCGCAGATTTCTAGCCCTGAGTGACATAGCTCTCCTAGTGTATACGTTGGAATGTTTGTACGCGTTAACCTCGCTGGGTGAGAGACCGTGTACGAGCGTGGCGCGAGTGCGCGGTGCCATCGACACGCTGGTCGCCCTCGTCACCGTGGAGGCGCAGAGTTACGGCCCGAAGGCGTGCATCCTAATGAGAGTGGTCGAAACGGTGTCGACGGTGGCAGTGCAGCAGCAGAACACCGCGCAGAACAACGCACCCGCCACTTCGGCCGCGCCTACTACGACAGTAGTGTCCACGTCCGCTCCGTCTACCTCGGTCACGATCACCACGACGCCAGCACCCGTCAGTCCGGCGCCTTCCCGACCTGCGACTCCGGCTACGACCTCGACCAAGTCGACAACGCACAGTATGTGATATCTCTTTCTGCGTCTCTCAAAAGGTGTAAACGTCAAGAGGTTGTGTAAATGTGTGTTCTCTCTCTCTTTCTCTCTCTCTCTCTTCGTCCGTGTAGAAGCAGTAGAGACGGCCAATGCGATTCAGCAGCAGAACGCGCATCAGCAGATCATCCAGGAGAACGAGCAGTTTGCTTTGGGCTGGGTGAGGGCCACGTTCGAGCTCGCGCCGGGCGTACGCATCGAGCAGGAGGAGCTGTACAAAAAGTATCTCGGCTGCTGCACGAAAATCGGCAGGCGAGGCGTGATAGCGCCGCTGCACTTTCCGAGATGCGTCAGGTGCGTCGATCGTTGCTCGAGACACATCGAGCAAGCGATATTCTTGTTATCTTGACACTTTATCACCCGGCAGCCTATCAATAGGCTTCGCACATTTGGTTTGTTGTACGGATTGAACACTTCTCGATGTAGTTCGAAACATAGCCGATGTTCGGTAGAGCTTGTTCTTGAATAATTCCCCGAAGTTAAGATCTAGTTTCCGGGTTTGGGAAAGTTACTTTTGGAAAGTAACGGGTTACCGTTACTTGCTAATGATCGAAAATATAACTCGTTACCGTTATCGTTACTCACGAAGTGTAACAAAGCGTTACAATTTCCGTTATTTTGTTAGTTTTGAAGACCTTTTTCTTAGGATTCGCTTCATATACATATGTATTGCACGTGTGATGAAAAGAATTTATTATATTCGTTATCCAAGGAATGTAACTACGTCACCGTTACTAATGAAAAATGTAACGTTACCAAATTGTTACCGAGAAAAAGTAACGGTAATGGCGTTGCAAGTACGCGTTAATTCCCAAATTCTGCTAGTTTCAGATCGTTTCTCACCCTGAAGAAGTAAATCGAGCTGTTCACGAAACAAATTCACGAGGAACGCGGCTACTAGCTAATCAAATATTTCTCTGTGAAAGCCTAAAATATTAAAGCCCATATTCTGAACTCTTTTATTAATAAAAGTGTTTCTAAAAGTGGCTTAGAAACCACCAGATTGGCTGAGAAGACACATTTAAGGCACTTTTATCAATGAAAGAGAGTTCAGAATACGACTTCAAGTTAAAATCTCTCATTAGATCATATTTTGCAGAGCATCGAGAAGAAAAATGTTCAACCGTAAACGCAAAAGTGTTCATCGTAAACAAGTGTATCCCGACGGTGCCGGTGGGATAAGTGCAGGGTTGCCACAGACTTGGAAGTCACGGAAATTTTTAATATCAGGGAAAACCTGGAAGTTTGAACTTTGCTCACAATTCCCTTATTAAATGCTCTCAATTATATTCTTTTTTTCCAATACTCGTTTATCTTTTGTTGACCTGATTTTGCCTTTAGGATTATATTATATTACTAAACTTCGAAGTTTGTGTTGCTTCTAATAATACAAGCCACCCTTCCTGCGATCCCTGTTTCTAAACGTTTAAAGTTCAAGATTACATATCGCTCATGGGAAATTCTCCACTGTCATCTGGAAAATGTCTGTGGCAACCCTGGAAGTGTCAGCACATTCGCTCACGCGACGCCTGCCTCTTCTCTCTGTGCAGATCCGTTTTCGGCAATATCGTGGGGCCGAATCCGTTGAAGGGCGAGAACACCGGTACCCAGTATTACGAAGGCATCCGAGTACGGTCGACGCCCGCACCGATCACTTATCCGAGCCAAACTGCTGTGGTAGCTACTAATACGGTCCCGATTCAGGCGATCAACGCTACTCCAGTAAAGGTGCTTCCCGTTCAACAGCGTACAGTCAAGAATATAAGCCCCGCACCCGATAGCACGGCCTCAGCCGATAATCCCGCGTCCGGAACACAAACGACCCCCCTAACCCCCGCGTCTCCGATCCTCAAGGCCCAGTTGTCCGCCCCGCCGAAGCCCCCGTCCAACACCCAGAGTCAGTCCCAAAATCCAGTGACCAAGGTTGATTCTAAAAGTCAGGTGGGTCCGAGTCCTAACTCTCTGTACCATTCTCTGCCGTTCATTCGTTCGCTCGTGACCTTGGTTCTTCTTCTTCTTCTTCTTCTTCTCACTTTTGGTTGTATGCGGCTTCATAACGCTATTCTTAATGTTGGTTTCCCATCTAACACAAGCTCAAGTGTTACTATTACTACTACTATCCCTTCTTGCTGTGACATAACGCACAGGTACCGGAGTTTACCCTGCATGCCACGTGAATATTCCTCGAATTGGTCTCTGCGAATTCGTCGGTTGCCGCGTAAATGAGTCTAGAGTGACTGTAAGAGTATGAAATGTATCCATCTCTCGCGGGATTCTTCATCTATCCGCTTCTCTCTCTCTCTCTCTCTCTCTCTCTCTCTCTCNCTCTCTCTCTCTCTCTCTCTCTCTCTCTCTCTCTTTCTCTCTCTCTTTCTCTACTCTACGACGTTAAAGCGCATGGAACTCTGTCCATATGTGGGGCGATACTTTCTGTTCGCAATCGCGTTAAGTCGTAGAGGATATCGATCGTTTCCGTGGGATCATTGCGCTGCGTATCGCGATTCTACGCTTGCCAAACGCTTCCTCCGATTGCGCAGGGGTCTGCGATAATCACGCTAACGTGCGAAAATATACAGGGGAGACTGGGACTAGTTGACAAAAGGAGTAAGTTTCCCCAAGGGATAAGTTGGCTAATCGATTATTTCTGCTATTTTCCGACATAATCGAGCAAACAGAGGTTTCAAACGTGTCAAAAATGGTTATGAAATTCCTACGTGCTCGATTCTGTTACCTGTTAGAAAACAACAAAGATAATCAGTTAGCCAACTTGCCCCTTTAGCCAACTAGTTCCTCGGTCTCCCTTACATCACGCGTGCATACATACATATAGTCTCTGGCCATATTATTAGACGTACTTTGGTTTTTTTCATAGAATATAGATTATGAGGAGAAAAGCTATTAATTTTATTTTTTTTTCGATTAATTTTCAGCGTCAAACAGCGCTTTTTATCTCTGCAACATTCCGAGTCAAATCACTCGTTTTATTCATGATTTTTTTGAACAATATTAATATTTTTCGCGCAAAAATTTATTTTTCCGTTATCAAGCAAGGAATTGGAAGTTTCCAGTAAACAAATCAACAAAAATAAAACTACATTTCAATTGACACACGCGCCCAAAAACTCACGTCTGTTCTCGTTATCATCAACAATGCAACTTCATACTTGTTCAGAGTCATTGTAACAGCTAAGTGAAATGACGTCGTAAGAAATACCTTTTATAAAATAATGGTTCCATGACACAATTCGATCGATAGATGAGCCGTATTGTAAAAGCTGGAAGTCGATGAAACGTAAAAAATCAAAGCATGCCTAATAATATTGACAGGGGGTGTACATACATAAATATTTCTATTAAGTATCGCGGAGCATGTGTTTCTCGCATACGCCTAAGTTGTAACTTTTCCGAAAAACGCCGGGATATGTACAATACACATACACCAGCAGTGTACCGGTCGGGTGAAAATTTGTATGTTGCCTCCTTGTCGACCAGGTGTCAGTGTCGCATCCGCACCTGAGCCAAGCGTTGCTAGCCAGCGGCTCCCAAATGCCGCACCAGCAGCAGCCGCAGCAGCAGTCGCAATGTGTCCAGGTAGTTGCTAAGGAAGATAATCGAAGTGGCACTACGTCGAGTTCCATTATAAAGAGCCTATTGGCTACTAAGGTAACAGTCAGCAGCGACTGCATGCCCAGTGCTGCCGCGACTTGTGTGTCTACCCCTACTGCCTGCGTAACAAACACTACTGCTAGCATCGCATCCAGCATCAGTGCCAACCAGCTAATAACCAGCAACCAGGTATCATTGTTGTATATTAACAAGAATAAGTAGTCCGTTTTGTTGGTTTTTTCTCTCTTTTTTTTTCTCTCTTCTTTCTCTCTTTCTCTCATACGTTATCTCTCGAGTATTGAGGTCGCGCGAGTACTCTTCGGTGTCGCGTTGAAGATCGCCTTTTCCATGAGTGATAACACGTAATGAGAAATCGTTGGAGGCGCTTTAGCGAGTTACGTTAAGCGAATAGGCGATACACGATAGACTCGATAGACTCGACAGACTCGACATCGTGTGACAAAATTCCCTCCCGTCTAAAATACATATCTCTCCTTTAGATCGATCACCGTCGTCGTCTTATTATGTATACGAGGTGAATAATTCGTTAACGACACACACGCACGCCACACTCCTTTCTATTTTCGCGCAGAAGTACACGAGGAGCGGCTGATGTGTCACGCATTCACGTTTTATTCTTTTTTTATCCTCCCGTTCTTTATACTATTCGTCCAGTGTCTCTGTGCTTATATTTAGCGTTGGTCGATGTATTCGAATTTTTCTTACCTCCTCGTTGCCGTTCGGTGTGCGAACTCGGAACAGAAGAGTCCCCTCTTGCCCTTCCCGGCGAATACATTAAGATAAGAGGAGCCGTTAGCGACACTTAACGGAGTGCTGTTCTGAATTTCAAGTGAAAATAGTCGTGATGATATCAAGTACTAACAACAGCATGGTTTTCGATTGTTCTCTCTTTTTAAGCACATAGACATACGACACACACACACACACACACACACACACACACACACACACACACGTCTTTTCTTCCCGATGATGAGTCGATGACGAGCTCAAAAAGTGATATACATACGATTGTTAGACGAGAGTTTGAAGGACCACTCGATCGAGACACATATCATCCAGCGAGCTTCACCCCGATTAACTTAACGAGGAATCGCTCCTTCTCCAGGTCGCCCAACGACAGCAACAGCAGAGGTTACTGCAGCAGCAGATGACGGGTGTGTTGCAGCCCGCAGCGCCCGCAGCCACGCCAGCCACAATACTCCCAAAGACTCCCGTGAACGCCAAGCAGAAACCGGCAATCGCACCAATTCCTGCCAAAAAGATACAGAGGCTCAACGGAGCCAAGTTCGTCGTGACTAATAACTGCGAGAAGGTACGCGTGAGTAAAAAAGAAATTTGCTTTAAATTTAACACATTTCATGCGTCCCAAACGGTACACTTAAATTTTCATGTTAATTTAACACGAGGTGAATATGTTGAAAAGTAACGCAAACATTATGTCGAAGATTAATACAAAATGTTGAGATATCATAAAAACGATAGTTAAATTAACGCACGAGTTTATTAAAAATTTAACACGGAAATCTTAACAAGGACAGATTTTAACACAAGTACAGAATGTTTTTTTACTGTATAGTAGATCCAGGCATTGGAACGGCTTACTTCTCGCTTATTTAGAAACACCACGTTTCTTCTCACCTTTAAGAAACAAGCTCACTCTTTTCACCTTTTTCTTACTCGATGCGAGCTCTTTCAAAGAGAAAGATTCAATTACAGGAAATCATATTTAGTAACTTGCTTCTTTATAAATGAAACAAGAGATTTAAGGAAAATAGAACGTAATAGTGACTCCGACGACACGATGTTCGATAAAGTGTGATTTTATTTTTAGCTTGTTCTTATCAGATTTATCAGGAAAATAGACAGTGATCAGCATGAGTACAAATGACCGTTTTTTCTTTAGATAACGTAGTGGAATCGATTGTCTATGATCGTCCATGTTTATACATAATTCTGGTTTGTCTACCAAACCAGAACGAGTTATTAATAGACGAATCCAGAAAAAAAAGAACAACAACCATACAGGACACGTCTTCTTTAAATTACATATTATCGAATATTATTCTTTGAATATTATTTTTAAGAAGTTTACTAACTCTGTTTTCAATCAATAATTTTCTTTATTTCTAAAATTTGTTTTTATCTGACAAAAAGATTTCCGGGATGTCCCAACATCCTGCAAATATATTTCAACGTAGCTTAACTGGATTCAAGTATTATTTTTAATTTTATTTCATTGAACGTACTTAAGAAAACACAAAAAATTTAATTTCTATTTTCTTGCAAAGAATATTATGATGTAACATGAATATCCAAGTATGTGCCTAAGACTGAGTCTAAGGTAAATTTTAGATTCTATGCATTATGTAATTGTTTTCCTTCTCCAAAATTCAAATTGACTTCCATTGTGAAATCAGTATTTTCAATCTCTCGTTGAAACGGTACGTTAGACAAATAATTCAATTTTTAACGTACAAATTATCCATGGGAGAAGACTCACTCTCTCCAAAGCTGACTCGCTACTTACTCGTCTTCGACAATAAAACTCACATTTCTCACTACTTTGACAGCTAAACCCCCCCAAATAGATCTCGTCCTCTTCCCATCCCGCCTGCGCGGACACCTCGAGGCTCGCGCATTTCGTCGACCTCCCTTCTCAAGTCGCTGCCTCGCGCTCGCTGTTTCAGACTGAAGTAAACGATAGCGACAATGCCAATCAAATCGTCACGTCCACCACCACCACGGTGGTGCTGAACTCGACTGAGAACCACATATCCTCGTCACCGGCGAAGGTCTGCCGGCCGCCACCCCTGACCGCGACGAGCGTAGTCATCAGCGGCGCCGCCGCCGCGGTCGCCAACAAGACGAATCAGCGCACCACGTGTACTTCCATAGCCGAGGACTCGGACTCCACCAACAACTCGCTGGCGTCGAGCAGCGGGATCGGCGGCAGCCGAGACTGCTCCGGGGTCGGCGTCGAGGAGGAGAACTCTCTGACGAGTTTCGAGGGTATCCTGTTGAACGGCGCGCCGAGCAACATGGACATCGACACGCAGGAGGACGGCTCGTCCAAGGACTCGTCCAGCGTGAGCTCAAAGCCGCTGCAGAGCATGATGCTGGCGGACCTGCTGGAGAGGAAGGTCGACAAGGAGCCGATACTGAACGGCGTGCTCGGCAAGAACTCGATCAACGAGAAGGAGATGGATCTGGTGGAGAATCACATAAAGAAAGTATTAAAGGAATCTCCGACGGAGCTGAAGATTAAGTCGGACGTGGAGGGCGGCAACGTGATACAGAACGAGGTGTCGGAGGACACGCTGATAGAGGCGCCGCGGGGGATCAAGAGGTCGGCCAGCGACTCGGACGAGCTGGAGATCAAGAAGCCCAAGTATTCCAACGGCACGATGTCGCCCGATCCGGCGGTCGACTCCACCACGGCGGAGTCGACGGTGTCGAGCATCAAGTCCGAGGACGACGACAAGGACAGCGAGAAGGCGACCGTCTCGTCCACCGCGGCGAATCTCTACGCCGCACTGGCGGCGGACTGCATAGAGGACGAGACGGACCTTGAAGAGCAGCCAAACGTCACGAAGGACACCGTGAAGGAAGAGGCTGCTCCGCCTCCGCCTCCGCCTGTGCCGCTTCACGTGAAGCCGGAGGTGGTGACGCCGGTGATGGTGAAGGAGGATCCACCGTTGCACATGAAGGAGGACCCGCCGGCTCACATATTCATCAATCAGATCACCCAGGCGTCGCAGTCGCCGGCGCCTCAGCCGCCGCCACAGCAGCAGCAGCTCATAGTGGCGACGTCCAGGCAGATAGTCGTTCAGCCGGCCATCCAGTCGAACAATCAGGTGATCATCCCGACCACGGCGGTGAAGGGCAGACCGTCGCCGCCGCAGCCGCAAGTGTTGCTGCAGCAGAGCGCGGGCGGTCAGCTGCAGTACGTCGTGTCCGGTGCCATGCCCGGGCAGAACTACGTGTTGGCGCAGCCGCAAACGGCTCTGGTGCAAGGGCAAGGTCAGACAGTGCTGCTGGCGCAAACCACGCCGCAGCAGGGCACCGGCACCAAGACGATCATCATACTGCAGTCGCAGACCGCGCCGCAGTCGGCCCCGCAGAAGATGGTGGCGGTTACGCCGCAGGGCCAGCCGCTGGTGGTGGCGCAGGTGCAACGGCCGATCCTCCAGAGCCCGGCGCTCAGCAACATACCGCCGCCTCTCGTGCCCACCTCGGCGACGATCCCTCAGACTTCCATCATAGTAAACAGCTCGGTGGTGTCGCAGACGAACCCGAACACGGTGACTGTGACGATCCCGGCGATGACCCAGCAACAAACCCCGGTCTCCACCAATCTGCCGTCCAGGGTGGTCACGCCTACCCCGCCGTCGACGCCGCCACCTACGAGGCCGGCGACGCCCCACCAGACGATCGCCACTCACGGCGTGGTCACCGTCAAGTCGCCGCTCGCGAAGGTCGTCAAGACGGTCAGCTCGTCGACCTCCACCGAGCCGGAGTCGAAGCCCTCCACGAGCCAGCAACCGACGTCGCAGGTGACGGAGAGCAAAACCATCACGATCAAAATCGACCCCAACGCCTACCTGTGCGAGTGGCGAGGCTGCCTTCGGTGAGTATGACTTGGTGGGTGGGAGCAGGCGAGCGCGTCAACCATGCCGGATTCATTTTACGCGACTCGTCAGAAGATGATGAATGAACTACACCTCTGGTGTGGCAGATCAAAACGAGCGTTTTCTTTTGTGGCTTTCGGGTTGCCGGGATCTGATTCCGATGTCTAGACAAATTTTCATTAGCCTGGAAAGTAGTAAAACCAGCATATGAAGCTATTAAATATGTGAGAAGTTCAAGGTTAGGCAAATTGACTTCTTTTTTGAAGTTTGTGGTCCGTACAATTCGTTTGTAAGTTAAGTTAAAAGTAACCCGAGCCAAAATTAACTAATTAAAAGTTGAGTTAAAATTAAATTAAGCGCGTCTCTGTCCTCGCGGGGATTTTCGTCGTCTCGCGTGATCAACGTGAACGAATGATCGTTTCAGGCAATTCAAAACACCGCACGAGGTCTATCTTCACGTGTGCGAGAGCCACTGTCCGACCGGAAGCGAGGAGATATTGTGCCTATGGGCGAGCTGCGACGCACTCAAGAGACGCAGGTTCTCGTTGATGACGCACCTGTACGATAGACACTGCAACGCAGACGTAAGTAGCTTTCTTACGCCGCCCTTTGCATTTCTCCCGTCTCGATGCCGATGGCCGACCAATCGTCCCGTTTCTCCCTCTCTCTCTCGCCTTCAGACGATGTCGCTGAGGAGGAAACAGTTGACTATGACGGGCAAGACCGAGGTCTCCACGTCTACACCCCCGACTCCGCATCATCCTGGATACGCACCCAACGCCGCATTCCACGCGATCAAACGGCACGCCCTGGAGTTCGTGAACCCCAAGGAGCTAATGGTGAGTGCATCTGTGAACGTCGTCGGAACTTGGTGCGCGACTCTGTGCTTCGCTCGAGGACACGGAGCTCCGGACTTGTTCTCTTTCTCTTTCTCTCTCTTTCTTTCTCTCTCTCCGCACTCTGTTCCGCGCGGGTCCAGTTAAACAGTCCGGAGACGGACTTCCCTCCCTTTGCGAAATGGATAGACGTAGTAACGTAATATATACAAGATGCCTGAGACTTTCCGGGTGGTGCACAGAGTAGAACGGGGGAAACTGGGAGGGGAAAGTTACGTGCTGTTTTGCCAAGTTCGAATAGTTAATGAAGATTTAATTAATCTCTATGAAATAATGAGTACACGGGAAGGCTGATTTATGGAGGTAAACCGTTAACTTACGCCGGAACCATAAAAAATTGACCAATCACAGTCGATTATTATTCTTCTCACATTCGGCCGTGATTGGTCAATTTCTTACGATTCCGGCGTAAGTCGAAACGGTTTACGACCTCCGTAAATCAGCCTGTAGACTAGACTCTGCATTTAAAAAATGGCTTAAGGTAAAAGTACCAATACTTTATGTAACTTATGTGTTTAAAAAATATATGTACCTACAAATATTTACTTGAACCTCAGGTTCTCATTATTTTGGTCTTTAAATACGAACTTTAAACTTTCAATGTATAGAATATGTATACATATTAAGTGTATGTACGTATATTCATGGTTGAAAGTTTCAATACTCCTAGTTAAAAACCAAAATAAATAAGAGTGCGTCCGGGTTTAAGCGCATGTCTTCAAGTATCGGTACTTTTACCTTGGTTTTGAAAATCTAGCAACGATGAGCATCAACTGATTTTTAGAGACGGAGTGACGCAGCGAGCAACGAGCATGTGACACAGGGCTGCGCGCCGAAAAGAACCGCCTCTCGCTATCAGTTGATACCCATCGTTGCTAGAAGATCTTCAGACGTAAGCCATTTTTCTTTATATAGAGTGTCCGGCCTACCGCTTCCCATGCGCCCATCGATTCATACAAATCAATTAATAATTCCTCGCTAACTTTGCGAATTTTGCCAAACTGTTCTCCCGTTCAGTTTCATCCGTTCTATTTGCACGCCACGGATACCAAGAAAAGTTTCAGACATCCCGTATAACTTTGAAGTGTCGGAAAAAAATCGTTTTTCTCCAAATTTCTCCGCGGATTTTTTTGGTTTCTCATCTTCCTTGCGAAAAAAAAAGTAAACATGACAGTTTTTAACCGGAACACACGTGAATTTTTCCAACCGAATTCTTGTATTCTCTCCCGTGACGGGAACTGAAGAAGTCCGCGGAAAAATTGGCAGAAAAACGCTTTCATTCCGAAACTTTAGAATTATGTAGTAATATATGATACTGATATATGTAGACACACACCGATACACACCGTGAAACGTAAATTCGACGCGTCTTACGATCTTTCTCTCTTTCCGTATCGCGTAGAGCCCGGGTGCAACCTCGCGATGCCGAGCCGATTCTGAAAATTCCGAAATCCTCCCCCCACGGTTCCCTCGATTCCCTCGCGAGTCTCCTCGATTGAACGACTAATTTAACGAGATTTCTTGTTCTCCTGTTGGCGAAGCAGCAAAGGCCGACCAAGCCCGCTGCAGCCACCTCAAGCACTTCTTCCCCCAGACCTGGGCAAAATCCTCCGCCAGAACAGGTAAAAAAATGTGTTCAAAGTTGGAAGGCAACCACCACCACCACCACCACCACCACCATGACACAGCCACAGCTCCTGTGCGCTGCTATCCCCACCCTTTTTTGTCGCATCTCTGTGCTTCTTTTTTTTATCCTCTCTTTGTTGTCGCATCACGTGTTCGTCCCCCGAACCCTCTCATTTGTTTTCTCTTTTTTACCTCTTTTCGTTGGTTGTAGCATGTTTTTTTTTTTTATTTTTTATTTTTTGCCTCGACATTACATCTCTCTTTTTCTCTCTCTTTCTTTCTTTCTTTTGGTATCTGTTTTTCGTAGCTTAGCATTTTTTGTTTCTATATGTGTATATCGAACTTACGATACTTATGATGAAAGAAGATGGCGTTGGCGAGTCAGTGTTCGCAAGAATTCGCTGCCAGATTCGTACTTATTGAGTAGATGTAAGTCTGAACACGTTTCAGACCGCGTTCGTCTGTTTTCTTTCTCCTTATTTTTCTTCTTGGAAGTAATTTATACGTACGTTTGTGTGTACTTGTTGTAATATCGCTTGAGGTGCAAGGATATGATTCGCCTGCGCTACGACGCGCGCGACATGCAGAATTCACGCGCGAGCGTTCGGAGCGAGCGAATCGCGCAGCTTCGCCGAGAGGATCGACGTGTCAGAGCGTGATCATTAATTCAGCGCTTCTGTACTCATTAATACGACTTCAATAACGCATCGCAGGTGCGAAGTCATACGGTCTGGAATTACAATGCCATGTCCATGCATTTTTCACATTTCTTTTTTTTTTATAGTATTGAACAATCAATGATGTCGTCCACTCGTCTTTGTGTGCGTGTTGTATGTGTGTGTATGTATGTTCAACACGTGTAGCTCGTCGATCGTCCTCGATCAACCGATATCTCTTTCTTTTGCAGGATGACAACGAAGGTCCGGTGACCAAAAGTATTCGCCTAACGGCAGCTCTCATTCTTAGAAACCTAGTCATATACTCAACACACGGTAGAAGGTAAGCTTCCCAGCCGTTCTCTGTCCACGTCTCTCCCTCGTCCCGGTAAATTCCCGTTCCCGATGCAGATATACTCGGCAACTCAGAATTAATCTTCACGGATGATTTTGCAGGCACCTCAGAGCATACGAGCCCCACTTGGCAGGCGTGGCGTTAAGTAACGTCGAATCATCGAGAACGATCGCACAAGTACTGTACGACATGAATGACCAGAGTAGCAGTAGCCATAGGTGACCTCTTGAATCAGGCCTCTAAAAAGTTCTATTAACGTTGCGAGCAGCGATCAACTTGCATTATTTCGAGTCACACACGGCGTGCGGGAGTGCGACGATGCATCGGCGGGGGTGGGTAACGGGTGTTCTCGCGAAATCACTCACTGATGTTGGTTGGTGCATGGGTGGGTGGGTGTGTGGGACGAAGGGAGGGAGGGAGAAAGAGGAGGAGGAGGAGATGGTGATGAGTGCGTACGTCTATTACGCGTGTGTGTATGTGTGTGTGTGTATGTGTGGTATGCCCACATTACGGATCGAAGGCTATAGGACTGCGGAAGGAGCAGGACAGCACTGGAGATAAATGTTCCATATATAGAAAAAAAGAGGCCTATAAACTTACTAGGCAAATCGTTTTGCCAATTTAGACTAAAATATGAACTGTAACTAGTGACACGAAACAAAGACAGTAGCTGAAATGATAACGTGGCAAGGTGATAATGCGTTTGCGAGTTAGCGAGAACGAGCGAGAGAAAAATAAGAGAGTTAGAGAGCGAGTGAGAAATAGCGAGAGCGTGTGGGATTGTGTGTGTGTATGCGTACGTGCGCGTGTGTGTGAGAGAGAGAGGGAGAGAGAGAGAGAGAGAGAGAGAGAGAGAGAGAGAGAGATTTCAGATTTAATATTAATATTTATTTTCTCAACAAAAAGTGAAAAAGGTGTTTTTAGTAAACGTGTACAAAAAAGGGCGAAGAAAATACTTTATGGCCGTTATAGTTAATTATATAATCGATATATTATTATATTATTATTCTATTATTATTGTACGTTTTTTCTTTTTTTTTTTTTCATCATAAGTCACCAAGGACTTAGACTAAGATGCAAAGGACGAGAAGAAGAAATCTTTTTATCGAATGTATTTGTTAGGAATTTATGATTTGCTTATAATTGCATATTGCAATTACATGGCTATATTATCGTCTCTCTTTGTTTTATTATTAACTAATCTTATCGTCAGAAATTAGTAAGATATAAACGGTACATGCATCGGCATGCTAGCGAGTTCTTCGTCATTACAAGCAGAACATTCATATCACTGCGTAAACCCTAACGACGTCTAGTTTAGAATCAGTTTTAGCTCGATGACTCCTAGCCATTCGACTTCTGCATACGTGTCAGATAACCACTCGGAGAAAATTCGTTTCTTCTTTCTTCCTTCCTCTTCTTTTCTTTTTTTTCCTTTTTACGCTCGTCGAATAACGCGGCATATATGTTTGTTACGGATTGATTTACAATGACTTTGTCATTAGCGTGACTTCCAATCAAAGAGCACATCTAAAAAAAAAGAAATGTCATCCCGAAANGAGAGAGAGAGAGAGAGAGAGAGAGAGAGAGAGAGAGAGAGAGAGTTAACGAGTTACTAATATTAAGCAGACTTTAAACGAAGGTATTATTACACATCTGGACTTAGAACAGAACTCGCCAAGTATTCGCAACTCGCAGCTGGTTCTCACGGTGGACGTTCCTCGTTTCTCCCGTCGCTGTTCAACTGCTTGTCAATCGTGTTGTAAAAAGACAAAAGCCTGCGATGAGGATGAAGAAGTGAGCGTCGAGAATCACAGCCCAAAGTTGCAGAAATACTTGACACAGCTCTGACGTAGAAGGCCTAATACTACAGATCTTAAATAACGATCAATCGTATCATCGGACTTTATTATATTCTTTTTCATTTGCAACGTTAATTCGAAATTTTCGTTATTGATTGCGGTGGAAATCGGTATCGCATTGTTCCTTTTGATTCGCGCGGCAGCTTGAGTTGCAATGAACTCTGAGAGAGAGAGAGAGAGAGAGAGAGAGAGAGAGAGAGAGAGAGAGAGAGAGAAAGATAGATAGATAAATTTCGAGTTTCCTGTTGAAACTTGATAACACTTGACAAAGATTTATATAGCAGAAACGGACGGAATTTCTTGTGATATCGCGTGGAGGGCATTGCAACGCGCATAATGACAAAGTTGTCTTTCGGCGTAATACTCCAACATCTTTTGCTTTTGCGTAAATTGCTACGGAGGATGACAGGATTTTTCTTTGTGTTTTATATTATTGAATGTAAAAGAAGAACGAAAAATACCGTAAAAGAGATAGTAATTTTTCTCGAGTCTTCGAAACTTCGACTAAAAACCGATTGCACGCTATTCGAGGGTGAAATAGAGCGAGAGTGACATAGAAAGAGAGAGAAAGAGATAAAGAGATTCGCCGGGAAAGTTCAAAGTGTAATTTATGTAAAGGCATATTCATTTTATTATGAACAGTGAAACGCGTTAGTGACAAATTTTATGTTCTCGGATGTCACTATTTTGCGGAACGGCGTAGGTTGCATTTATTGTTTACTCAGTTCCCTGGAAACACCAGTACATCGCATAAAAAGAGTATAAGAGTAAGCCGATTATATTCAAACACACACACATATATATATATATATATATGTAATAATATATATATATATAATATACATACTTGTACATAATGCCTGTATTTCATTCACGATGTTAAAAAAAACCTCTGTGTAAATTTCTTAAGATTGTAAGTTTAACGCGTTTAAGAGAAACGAAAAGTAAAAAGATTCTTGTATTATAATAGATTGTGACAAGACATAGAAGTTGCAAGGAACGGATTTTTGTAATTATTTAACTGGTTCGGTGAAGAGATAGAGAGAGAGAGTGTGTGTGTGTGTGTGTGAGAAAGAGAGAGATGAAAGCGAGATTGAGAGAGAAAGCAAGAGAAAGAAAAAAAAAGAAAAACCGAGGAACGGCTTCGTCTATATTGCAAAACGGCCGTTTAAAGATAGGACATAAAAAGTATGATAATGGACCTTCTGCGCGAGCCTCTATTATGTATTTTATATATAAATATATAAAAAAAAAACAAGTTTAAATAGCTGATGTGAACGTTTAGGAGGACGAAAATCTTGTGAGAGGCTTTTTATTTTTATTATTTGTAATTACCTAGTTTACATGTTCACCGTTTCGTACGATCATTGAGATCATAAATAAACATCTGTGTAAAGGAATAAAAGGACGATATAATAAATGACTAAAATACGAAGGAGAATATGGGAAAAACATAGAACGATCGTTTTGTGTGGCTCTCTTCCTTCTCTCCGCCGTACTGTACGCGAGCGAAAAACGGAAATATAGACGGCCATGTGAATACCATTCGCCGAATATTCCCATCTGCGCACGTACATACGCAAGCCCGTTTGCACACGCTTTTCCCGGCGAAGTTAGGAGAGCGTCAAATCGTTGTGAACGCGAACAACTACTCATAAGCTTCCACGGTAATCGTCGATCAGAAGAACAGCCGAAAGGAAAGATATCCGATGTCACAGCTGCAACGGAGGATTCGGGACAAATATAAGTGTTTCATTTATACTTTCATCCGTGATCAGGTAAGAGTTACATCATTTTTAAGTAAGCAAAAGTAGCAGCTATGATAATATACAATCAATACGAAAGATAAGAGATAATTCATAGGTAGATAAGAATCGAACGCAAATATTAAAGCGATATTAGCGTATAAGACAATCTTTTTTATAACTTTAATTTCAGCTTAGAGACACGAAAATTAAAATTTCAAAACAAATCTCATGCCCCTAGATGTGAGATTAAATAATGTGGATTTTTTTACGACAATACTAGTGGCGCCATTTATCGACCAATATTTGAACTGTGTTGTAGTATCCTTCAGCCACTTCTATGTGAAGTTTCAACTCTGTATGTGTGTGTATATATATATATATATATATATATAATTATGTATTGGGCACATGGGGGCAAAATTTATATGTAATAATTTTTTCTCAGGACACGTAACACGTCGGTTATCTATCCGCGAGCGCTCCATATTGATTATTTCTGGGCTCGCCAACTTTCGAGGTTCAATAAGACATCAGGAGAATGCTGTCTACAGTCGTAGAGAGTATAAAAGAATTTATTGCGATATATCAGTCGAATGTACGATCAATTAAAATTACTACATGTCTGCATTTGTACGTTATCGAGGGATATACTTTACTAAATTACTTCAATTACAGGAAAGCTTGCGCTTTCGTACATCGAAGGCCACTTATTCAACGTGAGATGTACGAGACATCATCTTCTCCGTTTACCACGTTTACTCGGTCTCGGTCGGTATTGCTATTGGGCTATGGAGTTTCCTCGAGTTTCTCGTTGACTTTCCCCATCAAGACCTGTGGAAATTCGAACCTCGTAAGATCCGCGAATTGCGCTGGCAAAATCGCCGTGCGCCGTCGCAATTCTCCTCTCTCTCCCCGATTCTTCGTCTCTCTTCCGCCGATACGTTCGCGCCTTCCAACGATCCCAACGTGTCGTCTATCAGATACTTCACGTACGTCCAATCCTCTCGAACGTCCCGAGCGTTCGAGTTACTTTCCGTCGCATCTCTCCGACGGCTTGATCCTTTCTCGACGTAACTCCTCGAAATCGTCCGCACAACTCGATCGTTCCGTCTCTTTTCGGCTAGAGACATCTCGTAATCAGAAGAATCGCTGTACATATTGAGAGAACTAGCCTCATCCTTGCTTATGTCGCAAAAATCGTCGGTTTCGACATCGTTGGTTCCGCGATATCTCGCGATACTCCTCCCGTTGATCTTCCTGCACGCGTACACGTTCGGCCTTCGACACACGGGTATCCTTCTCATCGTGTTCACCGCGATGATCCTCCCGGTGCCACGAGGGATGACGCGACGCTTAGAGCAGAAGCATCGTCGGGGCCGCGCGTGATCGTCTCTCAGCAGCTCCAGCAGCGTCTTCGGCCGAGCCTCCGGCGAAACATCTTCCGTAAATTCGGTCCCAACACTTTGATCTTGCATTATTTCAGCTATTTCGCCGGTCTCCTCGAAGATCTCTATCTTCTTGGCTCGCAGAGGATCAGAGGTCAACAGGTTCTTCGAATCTTCTTCTCCCGTGCCGAAATTTGTATTCCACGGTACCCCGATGAGTCCATGGGACGCTTCCTCAAAGTAACCCGCAACTTCCGCTCCGTTTCGCTGTTCGTTACCCGGAGGAGTCTCGTCCTCTCGACCGCTCGACTCGTCGGCAACGCCGGTTACCGTCAGTTCCGGGCGGATAATTATGTTGATGCGACGCACGTCGGCCGCGTCGGCGAACGCTCGGCCACGCTCGGTGCACGCGCAAACCCCGGCATCCGACGCGGCGTCGAATCGGTTCGTGCGTCTCGCAGTGTCCACGTCAGTCCCACTGACGTCACTCCGCACGCAGCTTCGCTGCAAGCATCTACGGGAGATATCAAGAGAGACGTATGTATGTGGCCTACACGATTACGTTTAAGTCTACATTGAAACTGTCCGGGCTCGAGTTGAGCGACCTGCAAAAACAAAGCAAAGGATTACGGGCGTGAAGGACGTGAGATGACGCGTGCACGACGACTTCGTCGTCACTTTTATCACCGCACACAGTGGACGAAATTTAAAAAAAGGAAGGTTTTCCTGCTGAAATCATGAAATCTTTGATATTTATTTGTTATCGTCGCGTCGATACATTTCCTATTGGTTTAAATGTTGCGACGTCGAGAATTTTGCCGATCAGTTGTTTTATACATACAAAGCTCGCTTCGAACGACTCAGGGAATGAGAAAGAGTGATTAATTCGTAATTGCCGTGCGTCAGGGACCCTGCAAGATATGTTTCTTAAATCTATTTATTTACTTGGTATTTTTAATGCCTGACCTTTATGATCCCCGTTTGATTTCTTCGAGAAAATAATCTTGACATGATGTTGACACGGGCCGCGTTCAGCGGAACAAAGCGATCGGTGAACGATCAGTGATTATTGATTTTTATTTAAATCCCCGAATTTAGACTAATCACATTTACTCAATCGTTGCTCAGTCGTAAATTAATCTAACTGTGAATCTTTTCGAAAGCTGTTCGTTTATTCGTTTTCAACTTTCTTCGGTTGTCCAGGGCGTTCTTCATCCTGGAGATTGAAATCGCCATTCCGAAATTTTTGAAACCACTTTTCACACGTGCCATAAGACACAGCGTTTTCACCTAACCTAAGGTCGAGCAAATTATTTCCTCAGCCTCGGCGGCACTTTTCTTCAATTGGAATATATTGCGAAAAGAAGGCAGATTATGCTAATTTGAAGTAATTTACTCCCTTTTTTCTTAAATTTCGTCTATTATGCGCCACCATCGTCGAAGAAGGTATCCGGGTCGCGCGCATATCAAAGAGGCAGTCTTTCGAGATGAGAATATTCGTGTGTATATTTCCTACAAACGTGGATGCGCGCTGCACAAATAACGTAACGTCGCGGAGGAGGCCGCGCATGACTCGTCATGAGAGTCCTCGACAAGCCACAAGTTCACGATGATCGACTAGGTGTGCTCGACGCGGCAATCGCTCTCGTGCTCCGCGTCGTCGGGGGGCCTACGTTGCGAGTGGAACGCACTGGGACACCGCGACGCGACGAACACGTGTCTGCCGGAGGACGAGCGGCACCGACAGCCGCAGGGGAACGACGGAGGGGCGGCCCGGTCGTCGTACTCGCGTGTCAATTCGGGCTCGCCGGCGATCACGCTCACGGTGTGCCGGGTAATCGCGGTGTACGGTTTCCTCAGCCAGTCCGCCTGCCTGCTGGACGAATTTGTCATTGACCGATCTCGCGAGACCGACTCGGAAGGTGAACTCTGCTCGCACGCACGGACGAAACGTTACAGTCGTGCGGATTCTACCTGGACGCGGAGACGGCACTTGGTTCGTCGTTGGAGGAGCTCATGTCCGGCCGAGGGGGGAGGTTCGCGTGGGACAGCTGAAGCGGGGACGGCGCCTCCTCGGAGTATCTACGCTCAGAGAAATGATTTAGTAATGGCAACTGAGTCTCATTAGCTAGTTTGAACTTTATTGTCATTGTTAAGAGGGAAAAGCTATTAGAGGTAAAATGTATTTGTTGCGAGGTACAACTTCATTAGCTGAAATTATTAGCATGAGTAGCTGAGATTGGTTAGCTGGACTTTCTTTGTTTCTCTCTTTTTATTACGGATATCAATGAACCTTGAATCTTGAATCTCTACAATAGCCGTCGTATACTTGTAAATTAGGCCATGAATAAAAAAACCATTTTACCACGTAGCACGCAAATTTTTGAGTTATTAATTAAAAATCACTTCCACATGTGGCGATTTTCAGTAATTAATAACTTGAAATTTTGCCACTTGCCATTTATGTCACTTGCAAAATAGTAGAGAACTTTTCTGTTCACCTCAATTCGTTTTCACGAAAAGTTTGTCCATGTCGATTTTCGACGTGGAATTTTGCTTGATGAATACTAAATTTGTGAATAGCTCTCTTAATGCGCTGAAAATACAACACAGAGCCTTACAACCTCCTCAAGGATAGCTTATATTAAAAAAAAAAAAAAAAACAATACATTTCTAGTCAGGAATATAAATATTTTGAATGTAATTTTAGTACTGTTACACGATCCAGCTGGTATTTTTCACTGTAGCGCCTAAATTCCAACAGTTAATAAATCTGGCTGCTAGGTAGCGACATTACTTCCCCCAATTTCCAAGACACAAATTTTAACCGCCACAGCTAAATTTCAGCTCTTATGCCTAATTCTTTCTCTGAGTGTATCTCTGAACGCAGAAACGATCGCGATAGGCGAGAGACTCGAGACGAGACGCGAGAAGGGACGGGGAATCGCGTACGAGTCGTCGAGACCGGTGACGAGATACCTGCGACTCTCCTCTTCCTTCCTCGCCCGGTCGAACCTCTCGTTGGTCACTTGTCTGCGGAGCTCGCTGATCTGCTTGTTGTACTCCGCCGCCTGAGTCTGATACCGCCTGAGCTCCATGGATTCCGACGACCTGCACATCGCAAGGAAAGAGCCGTGAGTCCCGCGAGCGGTCATGTCGGTATCTTCATTCCCTCTGCTAACAACATTTCACGCATACAGTTTACTCTGAAGCTCGCTGATCCTCTGCTTCAACCTGGCGATCTCGTTCTGCAGCTCCTGATTGGTCGTCTGCGCGTTGATGGACTCCTGCCGCGCTTGGTCCAGCAGGGTCTCCAGCCGCTCCACCGTCACGCGATCCCGGGTCATCTGATCTTCCGCGACGCTCTGCTCGGCCTTCAGCCTGGACAGCTGCGCCTCGTACTGCGGGGAGACGCAATCGTGAGACAGAATATAGTGCACACCCAGTAAACACCAATTAACAATAACATAAAATCAATGTTACAAGTTCTGATTCAACAACAAATAAGTGCGATATAACACGTGTGTTATGTTACAGTTTACGTTGTCGAGTGAGAAATTATAATATTGATGTTACGTTGTTGATGCCAGGCGTTTACCAGGCAGAGGAAAGAAAAGCCGAAGACGAAGCCGGGAGAGAGCAAACGAGATGGAGTGTGAGCGAATTTACATGCGCTTTCGTTGAATCCTTGTCGCCGAGTTGCTCAAGAAGCGCGTCCTTCTGCTGGTCCAGTTTCACACACAGGTCCCGGATCGCCATCAGGTCAGACTCGGCGCGGAGCTTCTGTTCGGTCTGCTGTCGCAGTTGCGTCTCCATATTAGCGACGCTTTGCGTGAGATTGCTTATCTGAAGAAATCATCGAACCGATACTAGTAAAAGAGTCCTCATGTCTCGGAGGCTCATCAGATTCTTCGGAGTTACAGCAAATTTGATCACCTGTACTAGTACATTCTAGTGCTTAACACTAAAGACTGCTACGCACACGGAAAAAAGAAATAGCTCCCACAGCTAAAAATGCAACGGAAATTTAATTAATTTAACTAATTCTCTTTCTCCCTAGTTTTTAGCTCCCATAACTAAAAACTAAGTCTGGTAACTAAATTTCAGTTGTATTATATGGACAGCTAATTCCTTTTTTTTCGTGCATGAAGTATTCAGATACAATGGCATAATATATAAGCATTTTGACAATGAAACAATTAATATATATTCTGCTAAATAATGAGATAATATTATTATTAGGTGCTTAATCAAAGCGCGTTTAATTGAAGTAAATCTTCTTGATCCAATAGCAAAAGCATTGAAACTGATATTTGAATTGCTGAAAGAACGTATGATGTATTATGTAATGCTGTTGATATTTTAAGCTTTCACGATATGAAGAAATGCTGAATTTGATCACTGAGTTAGTTTTTTTTTTTGCGGAGAGGAATGACTCGAAAGTTGAAAAAGTGAGACTTCGAGACTGAAGAAGCTTTCTTTCGTGAAATGTTCATAGAACATTGGAAGCAAATCCATAAAGGATACTAATTCGAAAGCCGAATCAAGCAATATTACTATCGAATCGAGAAGATTTACGAAATATTAAGTATGATTATTCCGAGAAATTCGTGTGATATTATTTTTATTTATCAATATAATGAGATGACATATAATATTTTAATCAAAGTATTGGCCGTTGCTACAAATAACCTTTTTGCCATTTTTCAGGCAATAGTTTGATCCCGCACCGATAAAATGACTCATCTTTGAAGATAATCCATCTATTTGTGACCTTATGAACCTTTACAAGCACCTGATATCAACAAAATACCAGCGACTTCTCGCGTTCTCTAAAGTTTTCGAGAATAAAATCGATACCTGAGTCTCGTAACCCTTTATCAAGCAGTCTCTGTCCGTGAGCTGACGTTCCAGATCGAGCATCTGATGCCTCGCCGTTTGCAGGGCGCCCCTGGCCTCCGCCGCTTCAGATTCCAGACTGTGATTGTTGGTCTCCAAGACGGTCGCCTCCAGACTGAGGCTGCGGAAGTGGTTCAACATTTCCGTTCTCTCATTTTCCTGGAGAAGGCGAGGAGAGTCTCGTTGAGTCTATGCGGTCGCGATTCCTTTCCACAGGAACTTACCTTCCGGTTGAGGAGCTCCTCAGCGCGACGGACCTCGCTCACGTAGGTCTGCAGCTGCCTCTTCAGGTCGTACGCCTCGGCCCGCGAGGCCTCCAGTTCGCGCTGCATGTTGCGCACCTCGCAGGTCACGGCGGCCAAGTCGTCCTGCAGTTTCCGGTTCTCTTGGATCGCGTTCTCCCGATCCATCGACGCGGCCTCGAACTGCCGCTGGATCGTCTCCATCTCCAGCTGCAGAGACCTCAGCTGCCGCTCCTGCTCCGCGCTCTGATCGACGCATATTCTACAATTAATGCCGTCGTTGCACGTTGAAGAGCGCAGAAGAGCAAACGGTCGGGAAAAGGGAGAGATTAGATATGAGAAGGTGAGAAATGCGAAAGAAGGCACTTGGAAGTAATGTATAATTATATATGATTATAATCACACATACACACACACCCACACACGACACACAAAGACAAAATTTATATATAATTATTTTTCCGGGTTCTTCTAAATCATATTTAGAATTTTAATGAAAAAACTACTGTAATATTAAGAACTAATATACAGACAATATATAAAAATTTAAGAATTATTGACGACTTTGTTAAAAAAATATAGTTATACGAAATTTACAATTTACAATAATACCCGTAATATATATGTGTATACACATATTTAAATATTTATATACCACTTTCTAATAAATACAAATAAAGTATTAATAAGAAAAATAAAAAATTAAACAATATCTCCGTGTTTATAATATCGTATGTATACATTTGCCTTAATTTCGCGCACGAAATTAACATTTATTACTTAGATAAATAAAGTTAGGATAAGAAAGTATTTCTTCTGCTAAATAATAAACTTGTATAGGGGGCCTTAGAACTTATTAGAGCATAGGGATGTCCTCTGGATGTCTTTAGAACGTCCCTTACAGGTCTTCTGTGCTCTATAGATTGTTACGTTAATTTAACCGAAACATTTCTCTCTGTATAATTAATCCGGACGTGGCGATTATTAGGATCGCCGTTTCCCCCATCTCTGATGATAGAATCGCACATCGCGTTCACGTTCGATTCACCGCAACAATTTATGCGGATCAGGCGCATATTCGTCGTGGCGCAAGAAGACATTCTCAAAAGGGGACAAGGGCAGGTGCCGACGAATTAGGCGTCGTCTATCGTTTTCCCCGGATTACGCAATTCCTCCTCTCGAAACAGCGCACTTACGTGATCGGATTTTCACATTGTCATTCAAGCGAGCAAGTTCTCTCATTCGGCGCGAATTTCTCAACGATTCGCCGGGCGACACATTAACGGGGCGAAATTAATTAAACATCCAATCGCCCGCGCGGAGATGACGAGATGACGCGCCGAACGATCGAGCGTGTGCGGAATCATCGCGTTAAATCGCGCGCGACAATATCGCATGATGAGAAATCTGCTCGGCCGAGAGGAGGATGATAGATTCGCGCGGATTTCATCGCGGAAAAACGTCGAAAGCCGAGTCATTCCTCACTTTCCTCGATGGGACTGTCACGGCTCTCCGATCGCGGAGAGAAGTGGCTCGTCAAAGTTCCGTCACAAATCGCGCAGCTCGTCCGGCGGACAACGAGTTGTCCACGCGCGACAACAGCGTGGATCATCGATCATCTGCGCTCGCTCGCTCGACGATTACGCGGCTTCTTGCGTAATCGCGAGACTCGCAACGATCGACAGGCGCGAAAAAGATCCGGACGACTTTCTCCCGTCTCTTTCTCTCTTTCTCTCGCTCTTTCGCGCCCTCCTCTCTTTCCAGCAGCCGCCTCCTGCGGAACATCTGGCCCGTTTGAAAGTGAAAACCGATTCTGCCACGCGTATCGAGAGGAGAATTTTTCCGTGATCGCCTCGAACAAGCGAGCGAATTTTCTGTGGAAAATCCACCGCGCTAGAGACTCGTTTTGATGATCTATATATATTTATATAATGAGTCTGGTGAATATATATGACATATATAAGTGAATTGGAGGCGCACACATAAGTAATCAAGTATTTACCAGACTTTTATTCTCACAAGTTTCTATTTGAGATATGTATAAACTATATAAACAAAGTTATATATAAATAGTATTTTCCTCATGTGCTACTAGGATACGATACGATTCAACTTATTATATTATTTTAAAAAATATGACTGGAAAATAAGAGAAAATAAGAGTTTTTTTTATAGACTTTTAAATGCGTTTCATTTTTCAATAATTTTTTACTTATGAGTACTATATTATATGTAAATCTGGTATATGCAGGGTGAAACAATAATAATAGCGTTCGGAGGCAATTGAATCGCGCGCTGATGTGTGATTTGACGCGGGAAATCGGCGAATTTGCGTTGCACGCGACTTCGCCGGCACTGCACGCGTGATTTCCGCGTCGCGTCGGAGATCTTCCGTAGCGGCGGAAGTGGACGCGAGGAAAACCTGGCGAATGGCTTCTACCGGTATCGGCGTTATGGACGCGACAGGGGGGATATTTCGTCATCGTCGACGCGAGGCCGCTTACAAAACTGAAGCTCGAGGTGCTGGAAGAGAAAATTCGTGGTCGCAACCGCGCAACCCCCGCAGAAATGTAGAAGTCATTTCTCCCAGCACCGCGGGCCATCGTCGCGCCGCGCGCGAGTGCATTCCTCTGTAACATCCGTGACATGATTTCCATCTTCATTATTACGAGGTAATAATCCGCCCCGAGGCGTGACGAGGCGGAGGAGTCGCCCGCGTGTAATCGCAGGCGATCGGAGTACGAGAGAATCGATTACACGTAGTCCAACAACATATTGAGAACAGTATATCGCGGAATCGTGTAAACACTTTTTTGCACGTATTTAATGAGTCGGGCACGTATATATACAGGGTATGGCAACTATTACCACCTGGAATTTCACCGAGGTATGAGAGTAGGAGCAAAATGTATTCGACTGAAATTGCATTGACACCAATAGTCGTTATCTTCGAAATATCTATATCGAATATCTTCGGTAGATTTCTTCATCTTCATCTTAGATCATCAGACGTTAATGAAATATTTTTATCTTTAAAAAATATTCAAAGTGGTAATAGATAGTTGTATGCACAGTCCCTATCCATATTATTAGACGCATTTTAATTTTTTACATTTCATTGACTTCCGAAGACCAACTTTATAATACGGCTCATCTATCGATCGAATTATGTCAAGGAAGCATTATTCTATAAAAGATATTTTTTATGATGTCATTTCACTTGGCTGTTATAATGACTTTGGATAAGTATAAACCCGCGCTAGTTGCATAATTGATAATAATAGGAACAGACGATGTTTTGAGTGTGTCAATTGAAATTTAGTTTTATTTTTGTTTATTTGTGACTTGAGGCTTCAAATTCCTTGCTTACTAACGGAAAAATAAATTTTTGTGTGAAAAATATTAATACTAAATATATATAAGTTATAGGTAAAACAAGTGATTTAACACTGAGAAGGTTGCAGAGGTAAAAGCGCCGTTTGTCGAGGAAATTTATTCAAAGTGCGTCTAATAATATGGCCAGGAACTGTATATGCAAGGTGGACAAGTTATTATTATTATTATTGCCATTATTGTTATTATTATCATTATTAGAGGAGGAAATTGATATTATGACCCTTGTAGGTACTACGGCCCGCTTAATATCTACAACTTCCCCCTAATCAAGCCTCTCTCGCTTCCTCTCGGGTTCTCAAGCTCACTCTCTTTCTCCTCCGACATTGGCGCTCAGAAGGAAAGTTCACAGCCCGAGGACAGCGTAAAAAGAAAAGTACCATAGAAAGCATCGCGAGTGCTCCACTAAACGCTCTCTTAATATATTCAGACACGTTCCCCGCGACATCAAAGCCGCCACGAATCGACGATGGGCTCGCTTTAATTGCAAGCCTCCGTTAAAGTATGTGCGTGTCCCATTACGATCATACGTTATGAAATGAAGTCGAAAGTGTGCCGTCCATTTGTCCGCGCGATCACGGCGATTTACTGCCGAAAAATTCGCGCTCTCCAAATCGAATGTGAAAGCCGCGAGATACTCGAGCATGTCGATAGCACGGCAGCATTTTCTATCTGTCGGCTACAATCCAGGCGTGGAACAGCGCGTGGAGTTGCGTGTCGAGGATCACTCGGCCCAAGACGAGGCCCATAGTCCGTCCGGAAACGTCGCTCTCGCGCACGGAAAAGAATCATTCCGTCGGTGTAACTGAATTTTCCGTTGATTATTTATATTTATAACTGCTGGTTCACCTAAGGAAAGGTAGGCCGGTCAGTGAGAACCTAATCGCGGCTGTTGTAGCGATATGTTATTATAGGAGGATATAGTAATAATAATATAAATAAATAGTAATATAAATAACTATATATAAGTAAAAGTAATAATATATTAATCATATAAATTAATGATATAAATAATAATAATGTTATACAAATTTTCCGTCGCGTGGGGACCAGACGAAAACTCGGTAGCAAAAATTGAGAAAAAAAAAGTAAAAATGACTCTAGTTCAGTTCAGTTTTTTTATTCTAAATAAGATCTTTATGATTATCACTTCCGTATAAATAAATATTATTATTTTCCAAAGCGATTCTTTGATTGAGAATATCGACATTTAAAGTGGAGTACACTTGTCCATCCACTCCAAGGTTACATATAGCTGAATGCTCACACGAGTGTGCTCGATAACAGAAAATATCATTTCTTGTCACCGAGTTTTCATCTGGTCCCTGTTCAATTGCAGGAATTGAATTCTATCTTCCGAGCGGCAAAACTTTTACGGCGACGCGAGAACTCAAAGTGCATCGCCCTGGCGAGGACGAGTCAACGGGAGTCTCCGCTAGCTCCCTTGGCCGATTGCATCACGGAGCCGTACTGTTTCACACGTGTCTTAAAATTGACGGCGAACGGTACCGAGTCCGTTACGGAGAGTAGCTGGACGCCGGCAGCGAATGTACCATCGAGCGTCGCATCGATCGTTCGCACATCACCACGACGCCTGGAACTTCAATCTTCTTAATTCGGGAGCTCCCTCAAGACGTGACGCACCCGAGTGAATTATTTATGAGATTCTCGGTTCTCCGTGAGCGACGCCTATTCTCCATGAAACGTGACGAATCTTAGTCCCCAGGACGATGTTCGAATTACGAGAAGGCCAGATCAGAGCTCGACACCACCTTTGTTTCTTCTCGTGAAGCCCACGGGGAAAAAAAAATTTGGTTGGAACAGCAAATGTTTGTCAATATAGTGACAGCAAAACAACGTTTGTTTAGAATATTTGAAAAATTTGTTAAGAGTATTAATTGCTGTTTGCTGGATATATGGACAATTAATACTCTTAACAAATCTTTCTGTTGTCGAAACAAATTTTTTGCTGTCTAAATACATTTTTTTTTGCTGCCACTATATTGACAAACATTTGCTGTTCTAGCAAAATTTATTTTCTTCGTGCCCGAGAAAACATCGAGAGCCGAGGCAAACAGCCCGAAAATCCACGTGGGCCGCCTTTATTTATTCACTTTATTATTCACAGACGCGGGACTGTGTGAAAAAACATCGACACGCCCTTTTCGTATACTTCCCGGCGCTGCTTCGACGGCATCACCGTTATAGGCAAAGGGCATTGTACCTTTCCACGAAACCGAACTCACGGTGAAGTGAAAGAGAGACGACGATGTGCGAGAGGAGCAGCCGATCCCGATACGCGTGATAATCCGGACGAACCGGCGACGAGTCGGTTGACTAGTCGGGGTCGCGAACTCGGCGTGAATCTTAATAAAATCGCTCCTCCAACTTCGGAGTGATCGGAATGATTCGAAGTGATTCTTGAGAGATGGAAAGAGCATAGCGTATACGTGAAAAGCGTCGACGAGAACACTGATTCCGCGAAAAGAAAAAGATCTTTTGGGTCTAATAAATTATTTAATTGGGTCTAATAAATTATTTAATTGAAACAAATTTGGGATTGAGCAAACAGATGAACGTTTGATTCAACAAACAGGATCGTTCGGCTTCTCAAACAATAAATATCTTTACGTCAAATAACTTATTTTGTATTTTCATCCAAATGTTGCAATGGCTGTCACGAGTAATAAATTATTTGAAAGAAGTGATACTATGTTAGAAAAATATTACAGAACATTTTTTATTTCAGCGGAACAATATTTAATGTAAAATGAAATAAATTTCTTTTTTATTGAAAACTACATTATTTTCTCTAAATGATACTGATTCTTCTGAAGTAAACCATGTCAAATGACATTTTCATTCAAACAAAATGATTTTTTTATATTAAATTAAGTTGTTTGAGGAAGACCGGGGCTAGGTGAACCCAAGTCAAGCAAACAGTATACAAGTATACAAAATCCAAAGAAACCTTTATTCTCTGCACAGGAGAAGAAAAAGAACTAAAGAAGGGAGAACCCCATGGAAGAAAGACGAGGAAGAATGGCGAGTCCTTCTTCTTCGCGATATCTCCAATCTCGTGGTGAAACGATTGTTCTCGTAACTGTGATATCATTCAACGTAGCGTAACATTAACGATCAGTTGAAGTCGCTCGACGCGCTCTATTAACCGCCTCGATTGTTATTCTCTTTCAGGCTAAGGACGGAGCTTTTCGCTTCATCGTGGGGGCCCAATTCGGTACGGTCTTGTAACTCCTCAAGGCCATGGTGATTTAAGATACACGTAACGGCGCCGGGGCCATGTAACATCGATTTCCTGAGGCACCTGATGTATGTGGCAATGCTCCGCTTCGCGTCGAGATGGCCCGAAGTGGACGGGGAACGTCGGGTTATGCGCTGCCCGTTACCAGATTATGCAACTGTTCATAAAGAAGCCTGCGCAGGCCGGAATGATCGCCGAGCGACCGGCAATGAAGAATCTTCTTCTCTCATGTAAAAGGGATGTTGCGTGAAAGTGTTGAAATAGAGCTTTTTTTTCTGAATTTTTTCCTCCCGAGAGAAGCGCGAGAAAGCCGGAGCAAGTGAGAAAATCGTCGCGACACATTGCTGCGGAAGAAGAGACAACGGGCGAATAAATCTGCGAGCGAGCGAGAAAAAGAGAGAGAGAGAGAGAGAGAGAGAGAGAGAACGCTCAGCGAAACCGGTTCCTCCGCGCCCGCCGTAAAATTGGAGAATTTTTCGGTGGTCTCCCGACATATTCGCACGAGCTGAATTACCCGGTTCCAGTGTGGCGCAATGTCCGAGCGCTCTCGACAACGCTTATCGAGCACGAGGCTTTTCGGACAACGAGGATGACGATGACCGTGTCCCGTTCGACACTTAGAGTCCGATAGTGGGTGATGTCATCGGATTTACGTGTGGAGTCACTTTAAAAATCTTACGCACGGAACGTCGACTTTTCCTCCCAGTATTATATGTGCGCTCTCCCACACGTGAAACCCATCGGCAAGAAAGAGAGAAAAAAACAGCGTTTATCTCATCCTAGGATATGCCTCCTAAGGACAAGAAACTTAACAGAGTCGAGAGGAAATAACATGACTTTCAATTTAATTAAAAATTGCATTAACAGAATGATAAACAGAATGAAATTGCATTAACAAAATTCGGAAGCAAAGAGAAGTAAAGAAAAATAAAACCGCAAAAAAAATAAGTTATATAAAAAATACATTTAAATCATATAAGGGAGACCGGGGCTTGTTGGCTGCAGAGGGAACTTGTTTATATATCGGCTGTTTTCTAACAAATTGCAGAATCAAATAAATGGAAAATGTAAAACCATCTTTGATACATATGACGTAAGTTGCATTTCATTATGTGCAACGGTTATGAAATGATGGTGTTGTATTGCATTTTTAGCAGTGGAAGTAAAATCTCACAACCTCGTAAATTCATTTATATTAATGTTAAATTTAGAGGTCTATATTAATTCTTATCAGTTAGAGAATATATTCCAGTTAGAAGATATATTTGGTTAATTAAATTTTAATGACCTTTTCAACAATATTTATATCATACATATATATATATATATATATATATATATATATATATATAT